GCCGAGCCACGGCGCCTTGCTCCCACGGGCAGCGGGCCCCAGCACACAGTTCCCTTGCTATATAACCTGGGACATGGTCCAGGGAAATGCACCCCTTGCCAGGAGGGCACAGAATTACCCCAAGATCTGTGATGGAGGACACCAGGCATGGAGGGCGTTCTTCCTACTCTTCTTCCTACTCCAGGAACTTCTTGGCAATGACCTGTTATGCACCGGGATGCCCGGGTGCTGCACCGAAAGCAGCAGTAAGACTTGTTCGTGGGGTGCTCACAGGCCAAATCTGGTGAAGATCCGGAGTGCTATGGCCTGGGTACTGGGTCCCCTCAGTCCCTTCTCTGAGGCCAGGGTTTCTGCAGCAGAACCCAGGGTCAGCAAGATGCTGGGGATCAGGATCAGTAAGCACTTAGCCAAGAAAAGGAAATACAGTTGTAAACCATCACAAGCAGAGAGACAAGACTGAATGAGCAAGGCTTGATAAGAGATTTGGGATGAAAAGAGGATGGAAATGGATATGACCATGTGCTTGGCAAGGAAATGGAAATGGCTGCTAGCTAGAAAGCAGCCAGACCTGGGAATCTGTGGCTAAGGACCGCAACGAACTTCCAACACAGCAGCACTGGATATGCTACTACTGATAGGAAGATTGGTTTGGCTGGATCATTCACAGCCATGCACTGGGACAGAGAATGGTCCCTGGTCTCTTTTATATGCTAGTATACACATGGACAGAGTGTATTAAGTCACTGCCGTTCTCAGTGCATCTTCAGAGACATGCAAAGGGCTGGAAGCTGTGAATGTCACATTCCTACACATGCCCCGAGGGAGCAGTTCTTAACGTCGTTTGCAAATCTTCAGGAGATAGGAAAGCTGAAAACATAGCAAAGAATAAGCAAAAAAGAGCAGGGTTCACTGCAGGAGTGATTCGGGACTCGACTCAGCATGGGGGCTGGAGGGTTATATGATGGGACATGTCATCATGGGAATCACAGGCTCATAAACATTGCACTGCATGTGCAAGCAGAAGAGTAACTGTTCATCTTCCCCAGGGTGTGCACTGTAAGTGCCCCAGCAGAGTTCCTGTTTCTTCTGAACATTACAAGTTCCTTTAGAGAGGTCAGTGAGGTGCTGTGACTGTTTTGGATGCCATTTTTGGGTTGGTGAACCATTCTTGCTACCACATGGCTAGCAAACTACCATGTGGCTATATGGTAGCGTCTTACAAACTAACCAGGGCACTGATACTGCAAGCATGCCCTGGCAAATGTCCTGCACAGGGTGACAAAGTCACTTCTATTTCTCAGCTTTTCTTAATTTTCATTGCAATTGATAGACCAGCAAGACCACATTTTGTTTGGTGAGCTGCTGTAGACTGTGCCCCTCTGGGAGTGTGGGATGAGACGTGGTAAGAAGGAAACTGGCTACTTGCTTTCTAGAAGAGGTCACCTAAACCCAGTCCAGAGTCTTTCGGAGGAATCCTACAAAATTGCCTTTTTGAGGGGACTTTTCCACCAAGATCAACTCCTACAGTTTGATCTCCCCTTTCATCCTTGAAGACATTCCCAACAAATAACCCTTTCTCCAGAGTATGGTTTCCACCAGGTAATGTGCCAGACTGTGTTAAATTCATTTAGGACGTGGCTGCAATTGGTGCTAAGAGGAAAGTAATCTGTGGCAAAGATGAGCAGGTGAAAGCCTTGACAAAGATGCCCTGTCAGTTCATGTTATTTTCCACCTATCTCATTCCTTCTTTAACCTCTGCAATAGGTAAATAATTAAGACATTTGAACTTCCGGAGAATCTCATTCTGGAGATCCTCCACAGCAGAGAGAATCCATCTCAGACAGCAAATCTTTTTTTTCCAGGGATGGGTCAACTGCAATGGAAAGAACCTTCTGTACGCTCCGAGTTCCCTTCCAAGAAACATCACCAGTTTGGATCTCTCCTTCAACTCCTTAGTCATGCCCAGTCATGGGACCCTTTTGATGCATTTCCCTTCCCTGCTGTCCCTAAATCTCTCTAGCAATGCTTTGCTCACGCTGTATCCAGCAGTCTTCTCCAACCTCAGAGCACTACGCCTGCTGGATGTGAGCAGCTGCAGCATCTCCTACCTCCACTCAGAAGCTTTCAAAGGCTTAGTAAACTTACACACACTGCTCCTGGGAAACAACAATCTCCGGGAGCTGGATATCTCTCTCTTCCTGCCCCTTGAGGCTCTTTTCCACCTGGACCTGCAGAACAATGCACTGATCTCTATGGACACTTCAGTCCTGCAGCATATGGAGGCAGTCCCGCAGGTCCGTCTTGAAGGAAACCCCTGGGTCTGTGACTGCATCACGTATCCTTTGCAGCAGTGGCTCCGGCATAGAAAAGGTGAGAGAACAGGGATGGGGAACAGGCATCAGGGAAATTTCAGTTAGGAGGAATCCTAGATGTAGGGTCATGCTTGTTCCTTTTGTTTCAACCCCTTTTCCGGCTCTCAGGCTAGTCTCAAGGGACTTCTCATGTCCCTCTTGAGAGACGGCAAATTGAAGCGCTGTGTGTCTCAGCTCTTTGCTTGCAGTTACACACAGTAGCAGTGTGCTAGGAATGACAGAAGTAACCCTGTGAGAGTGCAGTTCATACCAGCATCCATGAGTTTGGCAGTTTCCAGTAAAAAGCTGCCTAATCACAGTCACACAGACAGTTCTGCTTGTTGCTGATAGTTCCTTGGTCAGGGATTTGTTGTTGTTGTGCATTAGAGTGTGTTGAGGACTGGCTAGGTGGGAGGGCAGCCCCAGGAGCACTCTGCTCCGCTTCCTCTCACACCAGGAGCCAGTAGTGAGCACTTTCTCTGAACCGGGGAGGGAAAGGATGCAGACCCCCTTGTCCCACCTTAAGCCGTGTATCTCCCAGCTGTGCAGGTCACCTGTGCATCGCCCCCAGAGCTGTCGGGGCAGGACATCACAGCTCTGGATTTCCAAGACCTGGGCTGCAAGAAAAAGCAACGGTTTCCTCGGGCTGACAACATGACCCTGCCACTGATGACAGTGACCCAGAACAACAGTAAGTTGCACAACTACAGAGGCTGCAGAAGGGGCTAGTGCCCTTCTTCACTTGGTCCCTGCCACAGACATGGCCCTGCTGCAGGCATAACATGGAGCACTGGGTTGGTGGGGAGGGTGATGAGGATGACTGTTACCTGGACTGTTGGTCAGACACTGTGCAGGTCAGCAGAGGATTTAGCAGGAGCTATAGGGGCAACCAGACACACACTCTGTAGTGATGGGCACCACTATGAGCCACACGGCAGTTTTCCCAGCAGTGTTCACACATCCTCTCCAGTTCAGTTATGTGGTGCAAGCTCTTGGTAAAGAGCATTTACATTGCTCTTAACGAAAGAAATCCAGGGTTTGCTGCATAAGGCAGGGTGCACATGGCAAGCTGCTGAGAAGAACTTGTTATGCTGCAGACTTGCATGCTGACTAGCCTAGAAGTAACCAGTTTATGGAGCCATATTGGACTAAAACAACAGCAGCTACAATACTTCTGAAAAGCTGCTCTTAAAAAGCATTTATTCTCCCAATAAAACTTTGCAACAAGCGGGCAGAAGCCTTTGCATAGAGGCACAGTGGTAGGTCCACCGAGTGCACTTAGGGGGCTGTTTTCCCAATAACCCGGTGGCAAGGCACATGATGCTCTCACATGCAGTGCCCTGACACGTGATGTCCTGACATGCTTTTCCTGTGCTGCAGCCACCGCACCTGCAGGGAAGGGGGGAAGGAGCTGGCCGTACCTGGTGGGCTTCCTGGTGGCTGCTATCACCATCTCCCTCCTGGTCGCAGTGGCTGCCAAGTGCAAGCTCTTCCACAAGAACTTTGCTAGTTACCGTCACCGGCCGCTGCCCGACACCAGCTCGATTGGAGGCAGCCACATGGAGGAGAGCACCAGCTGGGACAGGGACACCTCCGTCCGGGGGCTCAGTGAGAGCCTCCCCATGCCTAACGCAGCTGGCCTGCATGCTGAGGACGACGATGGCTTCATTGAGGACAACTACATTCAGCCAAGTGAGCAGCTGCAAGACGAAGAAGAAAGGGGGTCACACATCTCCATCTGAGGCCATAGGCCAACCACCTCCACTGCAGGGACTCCAGCCCCTGACCTGTCCCCTTCCACCCCCCAAATCTCCATCTCCTTTCTCCCTTTTTGACCTTTCCTTGGATGCTGGCCCCATGGCCTAAGTTGGTGGCAGGAAGAAAGTTGTGGAGAGGAGCAATGAAAAGGGATCAGCTGGAAACAGGGAGAGAAGCCCAAGGTGCCTGGCTCTTTGGTGACAGGGCCAGCAAGGACTGCCAGGCCTCGTCAGCCTCCCAGTGTGACTCCAGCAGAGCTGTCCTGCTCCTCTCCCAGCCTTGCTCCAATGCTGCAGATGAATGAGGGTGCTGATGGCAGCGCAGGTGCCCTGGTGGGGTCTGCCCCGGCACTCCCTGTGGCTTTTGGGCACTGACCTCACTGCTCTGTGTTTGCTGAGCATGGCCCTGGTCTGTGCCCCACTCTGTTTTCACTCTGCCATCACTCTATTGTCACTCTGGGGTGTGATTAAAGTGTGATTTAGGTAATCTCTTCTGCTTGCCATGGTTTGTTGGGGCCCAGGCCCTTCCAGCAGCGGTGCCAAGATGACCCTCCTGAGCCCCACAGGCTCAGGCATGTGGGGCAGCCTGCAAGGGCCTCCACACATGGAGGGTGGCCCAAGGCCAGCGCCCGTGGGGGCTTTGCCAGGTCTCCCAGCAGATGAGAGATGTTTATCTTGTGTTTCCTCTCCTGTGACAGCGACACTGTGTTATCACATTGTTAATCTCTGATTAGATGTTTGGAGCATCACTGTTGGTTATATTTGCATTTGATAAAACCTCCCCAATGCACAGGATGAAAGTTTAGGGTTGTAGCAGATAGCATTGCTAAATCCTTAATTATTTGACTAGAATTGGTGGTAGTCCATCTTCTTTGCACACTCCATACCTGGTTCTGCAGATTTTGTGTAATTTCTCCTTCACTTGATCATTTGGATGGGACCTGAGCAGATCAATGTGTCTGAGCATATGGGATCTGATTATCTTTTTTTGTCTTTTGCTGCTTGAGAGACCCCACTTCTTCATATTTGGGAGTGAAGCAAAGACGTCTGGATTTGTCAGGTCTTGCGCCTTGCTGTGCTTGGGTACTTGGATGATCAAAATAGGTGCCTCTAGAGAGAGGGTGTCCAAGCTCTGCTGAGCATCACTGAAGAGCCACAATCTGCTGGGCTGTCTGCAAAGGGAGGAATGTGTTGTGGGAGCGCAGAGTCCCCTCTCACAGACCCCATTTGTCTCCTTCTGTTCCTATATAAGCCTGTCATCATCTTGTTGGTGTGCGGGTGCCTCCTCGTAGTGGAGGCTGTTGCAGAGCTGTCGGGTGAGCTCAGAAGAGAGCCTGAATGCTTCTCTGGGGTTTGTACCAACATGTGACCCTGTGCCACGTGCTCTGGATGTCCCTGCTTGAGCAGGGGCATTGGACTAGATGATCTCTAGAAGTCTCTCCCAACCTCAACCATTCTGTGATTCTGTGATCTCGGTGCTTGTGGTGGCAGCTGAAGAACCCTGTACCAGCAGGTGTGTCCAGTTGGAAAACCAGCTTTTTCATCAACAACCTCCTGGAGTTGTTCTGGATGAAACTTAATCCAGATCTGCTTATATATTTAGTCTAGCTGGCAATTCTTTTCACAGCTGTCTCTCGCTGCTTACACTGCAAAGGTTTCTCGCGCTAGTTCCTTCCCCTCAGAGCTGTGGAGGAAGGAGGAAGGAGGAACTTTAGGCCTGCGGAGGCAGTGCTGGTGCGACAGGCCGCAGGAGCTGAGCTGCCAAGCGCCCTTACGCTGCAAAGGTTTCTTGCGCTAGTTGCTTCCCCTCAGAGCTCTGGAGGAAGGAGGAACTTTAGGCCTGCAGAGGCAGTGCTGGTGCGATAGGCCGCAGGAGCTGAGCTGCCAAGCGCACCAGCAGGAGGCACCCTGCATCTGCAGCCTCCCTTTCCTCGGCCGAGGGGTTTGAAGACGACACACGTTCACGCTTGGAGGAAGGCTCCTGGTCCAGCACTAATGAGAAACCTCCTGCAAGAGGGGATGCAGCCTGTGTGCATCTCTGGATCACACGCCATTCCCATATGAGGAAGATCCATCTCCATCTTCCAAGAAGTGAGTAAGAATTTCTTTCCTGTGAGGGTGACGGAGCCCTGGAACAGGCTGCCCAGAGAGGTTGTGGAGTCTCCTTCTCTGGAGATCTTCAAAACCCACCTGGATGCCACCCCGTGCCATGTGCTCTCGCTGTCCCTGCTGGAACAGGGGGGCTGGACTAGATGATCTCTAGAGGTCCCTTCCAGCCTCAGCCATTCTGTGATAATGTGATTCCTGGGCAAACTCTGAGATAAAGCAGTGCAGTGATGACGGGCTTTTCCGGCAGCAATCCCTCTGCTGACTCTGAATTTTTCAATATTTTTCACCCCGTGGAAACACTGCAGCACGTTCTTTACACTTCTGTCTTGTTGTGGATGGCTACCCAGGCAGCAGCCAAGGGGCTTTGATTCCCCTTCTGCTTCCTACATCTGTTGCTCCCAGTTGGGAGGGGTTGCTCCCTTGGGCTGCCCGCGTGGCTCTTCAGGTTGATACAAAGGCAGATTGAAGCAGGAGATGAGGAGAGGCGAGGCTCTTTCTCACTTGTTTTTGTTGCTCTCAGCCCTCCAAGGAATTAATTGTTTCAGGCAGCAAGAAGTTGGCTGTTGTCATCAAGAAGCCTGGTCTGATCCTTTGTGTACCAGCATCACATTCATTCCTCACACAGTCATTCAGTGTTTGCATCGATGCCTCCAGCAACATCTGTGTGGTTGATCAGTTCAAGGTTCTCATCAGATGGCAATACAGGGAAAGCGATGCTGAGGAATCAAAGGAAGCAGAGAAGACCCCATGTCCTTGCTGCGGGTAACAGGAGTGTCCTCTCCCTGTGTGGGAAGGTTGTTCTGTCGACAGTGATCACTTCTGGCTCCATGTGGGGAAGTAGGGCCGAGTGCCCACATGGACAAATTCTGCAGCCATTCTGCATTCCCCAGCCTTTGTGTCTAATGAGGCAGAGTAACCCCTTTCCTGGCCTCTGTCGTCACCCTCAGATGTATTAAAGCCCCTAGCCCACATAGTCACAGACTACAGAACTAAAGCCTTTGGGCTTTATAGATTTAAGTCAGACAAAATTTAGGAAAACTGGGGGTGAAAATGAGGTCTAGATCACCAGGCTCCTTCCCCCATTCCAGGTAAGTTGTTCATTATGGAGCTGATGGGTAGTAGGTGCCTCTCAGCTGCGTTTAACTAGGCTGCAGTCCTGTCTCCAGTAGGGCAGCATGATACCATAAGGGAGTGCAGTAACTGCTAGAGATAAAGGGTTCACTGCTCTGTCCCATGACCACGAGGCAGTAAAACTGGAGGAATCTCCTCAGGGGAAAGATGAGAGAGGAAAGACCTCCCTCAGAGGAAGTCCTCAGAGGGGCAGCGCTTCCGCCCTGCCTGCAGATCCTGCCTGGGGCCAGAGGCAGGGGATACTTTGGGTTTGTTCAGGTAAGGACTGTCCAAGCCTAATGCTTCAGCAGCTACCTGCTTTCGTAGTCTTAAGTTTCTAAGACTTATTATTTCACTTTAAGAGACCACAGGTGTCTTCCAGCTCCTTGCTAAAGGAGCTGAACATGACCTAGCAATGAAATTTGAATACTGCATGAAAGAAGCAGCTTCTCAGGGTGTAAGTGAACGCACATGCATATGCATCTCAGGCCAAAGTAGCATAGTGCTTTGGTGTTAACAGGCAACATGGACATTTACTGGGAATTACTCATTTAATTTCTTCCCCATTGTTAACACACTTACAGGTACTTTTTTGCATGCACTTTCAAGGACCAAATAACACAATGGCACACCCAGGAGTCTGGTAAATGCAAATCTGTTATTGTATGATCACACAGTCCTTGTGCATTGCTCCAAGGTTTCTGTGTACATTTTGCCAGCATTTCCTGCTGTCCTTCCTTCACCTGTCAGACTTGCCAGAAGGCACTTACCTTTCCCATGGCTTGGCCTGTGCAGCACAGAGCTCCCTGCAAAGCTAAGTCAAGTTCCTGGAGTGCTCTGCTCCCAGCGTCAGGCAGGCAGGCGCTTTGGAGTGAAGTGGTCTTGTCTCAAGGAGGTGATTGCAGCCTCACCTTAGTATCTGTGTCTCTCACTATGAAGCTGTACTATACATTATAATTTTTGCATTCCTGTCATCTCTGTGGTCAGATAAGCAGCGCGTGAGACACAGGCAGCTCCAAGTTGATTCTCTTGAGGCAGGACCAGCCATGTACACACGGGTCATGCTGGAGCTACATGTGCTAAGCATCTGCAGCCTCCTTCCTTAGCGAGTGATGGTCCAGCTCTCTGCTGGAAAGGTTTCCTTGGGAACAGCCTATTCAACAGCAAATAATACATGTAGGAGAGCATGGACCAAAGGGGACTATTAATCATGTGTATGGTGTGCAATACAGACCACATGTCTTGCCCAGGAACTTAAAGCATCTTCCAGATAGGGAACTGGATGTCTGAAACCGTGAGGAGACTGAACACCTGTTGGTTTGTTCTAGTGGTCAGTCAGTTTTCTCTCTTGAAAAACATATTTCTAAATTGATTTTTTTCCTGACAGTTTTGCAGTCACTGCCTCATATTTTGCCTTCTGGGCTCATCTTAAGAGCCCTTTACTCCCTCTGCCACTCACTGTGAAAATATATGCTGTAAAAATATATGTTGTAAATTTGGAAAACTTACATCTTTTTGGCAAGGTGCAATGAGAGATGTAAATCTGAAGACTGGAAAAATGCATTTCTGTTATCTTGCAGAGATGATTTTCTGCGCTTTTCAATATGATTTTTATAATACAAATGCATGTGCTAGATGCAGTATTTTAGTTTTGGTCTCATTTATGTTTTAAAAAAGATTAAAAACACAACTCCTTCCCCGATTTTTTACCTCAGGATCTCATTTACTCTCTTCCCTCAGTATCTAACGGTGAGCTCCTGGGCTACTTGGGCACTATTTATCAGCCCCTCAGTTTATTATTTAGCTGAGCAGAAGTGGTTATCTTTCCCATGACAACCCCTCTCCACCACATCTAGGCAACTTCAGTGCCAACAGCTGGGTGTCCTGCAGGATTAGGGACATTAGAGGGCTGGACCAGAAGAGGAGCCTTCTCAGCGCGACGTGCGGAAGGGCCACCCCAGGCAGCTGCCGGGAGGGCCGCAGTCCACGCTGGGGCTGCGAGCAGCAGCAGTCAGGCATGTGGGCAGACTGGTTGCAGGCTGGCCGGGTCACTCAGGGCCAAGCAGCTTCTATGTAAACAAATGAGCTGCCACCGTCCCCTTCGAGCTGCCGCCGTCCCCTTGGAGCTGCCGCCGTTCCCTTCGGGGGCTCCCTGCTGAGGCACAGGAGCAGCTCGGGCTCCCAAACCGGAGATGCGCGCGCGTGCGGCGGTGGGGATCGTGCACAAGGAAACAGGCCCGTGCGTTTGAGGAGCGGTGGAGGCGCTGCTGTGGGAGCCCACGAGCTGGAGCTGCAGCCCAGGGTGGCTGCTGGGCTGCCGAGGTTTCTGCCGGAGCTTGGCCTGAGCAGAGCTCAGCTCTGCGCAGCCCGGCAAACTACCCACACTGAAGTACGAGGCTTCGACACCGCCAGCTTCTGCAACACTTTATTTTTCCATGTACAACACAGGAAACAAGGGAAAGGAACAAAACAGTAACGCTGCTGCAGGAGGTGAGTCAGAGACCGGCGCGGGACAGGCTGAACGCTTGGGCAGCCACATGCCGAAACCTCCATCTTCAGAAACAGCCTGTTTTTATCCATTATTTCCTTGGGTTCCTAACATGGTCCTGAGTCATCCTCTTCCGGCAAAATTCACATGCACCTGGGCACATTTTGAAGGGTCTATGGAGGGGCAGATTCACATTGACAGGCAGGCAGCACGGAGCTGCAGGCCGGGCACAGACACGTGTGTTCACAGAAACACACAGATGTTGGTGGCACAAAACTGCTGCTCAGCTCCGGGCTGCCGCTCCGTGCGTAAGCTCTGGAC